ATGTGAATGCAGACTATATATAAAAATGGCGGCAGAAAGTTTTGGATATATAACACTGGACCATTAGGCTGCTTGCCTTCAACACTGGCAACATGGAAGAAAAATGACAGCGTGCTCGACTCATTCGGATGCATGGAAGATTTTAACAATGCCTGTAAAACTTTCAATACCGGGTTGATTGACATATGTGACGAGTTTAGATCCAACTTTATAAACGTGACAGTCGTTTACGTTGACAAATATGCAATCAGATACGATCTTGTTGCTAATCATACTAAATATGGTAAAAGTGTTACACATCTATAATTATTTCCCTCATAACAACAAAACTTTGGTTGGTGAATGTCAATTTTACTTTCTTTGCAGGTTTCAAAGATCCATTGATGGCTTGCTGCGGATATGGAGGTCCTCCGTACAATTACAAGGACAGCCAGAGGTGTGGAGCTCTGGGTACTTCAGCTTGCTCGTTGGCATCTCGATATGTAAGCTGGGATGGAATTCACAACAGCGAAGCTGCTAATGAGATAATTGCTTCTGGCATACTTTCTGCAAAGTATTCTTTGCCTGAAATTAAACTAAAGAGTCTCTGTAGTTCTAATCTCGATTCATGAGCTCTGATTCCTGTGGTGCAGTAGAAACAAAATGTCCACTTACATTCATATGAGTTTACAAATGCTTACAATGGGAAAGAATTAAAGTATTATTAGCTTGAAATTGCATGGTCTGGATTTCAAATTTTGGATTCCAGCACCATGAATTGACTAATAATGTATTGTTTTATAAGAATAAATGGCTGGTGGAAAGCTCGTTATGCTCCAGTTGAAGGATTATAATGAAACATCCTTTAAAAAAAAAGTAGGCGTAAAAAATGAAGGAAAACTGGCTACATAATTAGTCTAAAATCTACGAAAGAGAACCTCTTACGCCTCGTTTGGTACGTGGGAATGAAGCCAAGTGAGAATGGAATGGAAGAAGGAATGGAATGGAATGTATGTGAGAATGGAATGGTCATTCCCATTCTCTTGTTTGGGTGCGTTTGTAGAATGAAGGTAGAATGAAAATCTAATTCTCATTCCCATGTTTGGTATCACTAGTTCACAAGTGAGAATGAAATCTCATTTTCTAATAATGCCCTTATAACAACATAGATTTTTAATAAGATAAAAATAAATATTAATGATAATAACTAAAAAAATTTATTTATGCATATTTTATATTATTCTAGGTATGTGTTATACTAATGCGCATGTTATCGATCAGGTGTATGTTTTGTTTATATTTTTTAAACAATTCTCACTATTTCTTAGTCTTAAAAAATTAAATAAAAATAAATAAAAGATTATCGCATCTTTCATAGGTCCAAAAAAATATAAAGAATGATATCCACAATCCACGGTTCTAGATATATAAATTAACTCATTTGATAAAGTACCTAACATATTTTCTATAGTACCTTATAAATTAACTCATTTGTACAATACAGATTTTCTATCATCAAGCCTTATTATGTATGTACTGAAATTTATGTGATGAAATCAGAAAGTTAAAAGGAGGAGGAGGAGGAGGAGGGGTGTTATAGCCATTTTAGTGGTGAAAAACAACACCAATCAATGGACAAGTGTTGCATATTATGCATAATCAGGTCAACATCTCAAGATAATCAGAAGCCCAGTTCCGTCGACTCGACACGTCGACATCCTGCAAGGACGACTAGAAAGACGTCACATGTCGATGACCCGAAAGGCGTTACGTGACGTCCCCCGGCTGAGTCGACTACTTAAACACTCCACTCGACCAACTCATCGGCCGACATCTTGCGAGGGCGACTTGAAAGGCGGTACTTCTCGACCACCAGACGAATAGAAAGGTGACAAAACGCCTCAAGCCTCAAGCCCCTCCTATGCACTGATGACCAATCACCTCGTCATAAATGCCATTAAATGCGTTATGTGCATCATCATTCCTCTGCTTCTAATAGTATTTATGACACATCGGATCACGTCGGCACCGCGCACCCCACATCACTTCGCATTAAACCGAAGCGACTTCTTCTCCACTCCTCGGTCGATACTTGTAAAGTTGAAACTGACTTGGCCGCCAGCTCATGCCCGCCCAAAGTTACCATCCTACCCTCCTTCCACTACTATAAAATGTGATACTATTTTCCATTATAATGTAAGTTTTTCCACCATTTTCTGAACTTAAAAACTAATACATTTCCTTTTACTTCTCCACACAAGCCACCCACGGACTTGATCGTCGGAGGAACAACCAGGGAATCACACTCCGCCCTCTTACAATCTGTTACTTGTGCAGGAAAGTACAGCTTGCCCAAATACCAGACATTTGGAGAGTTAGAGGACCTCCATCAACACAATTAACCCTTTTCATTTGACTATATGATTCCATACATCAACAAGGGGTTGATGATTCCTATACTTAAGGGGGTCTTCTGATATTTTGAACTTTAAGGGTTTTTCCGATAATTGTTCAAATTAAGGGGGTTTTATGATGTTTAGATTTAAACCGGCTCTTTAGAGAAATATTCGGTATATAAATCAAAATCATATATGATTTTTCCAGATTTTGTAGGATTTGGTAAATTAGGTATATGATTTTGATATGATTTTTCTAATTTAGTTCTTGTTTAATTATCGTAGATCAAAAGTGTTAGCTTTAGATTTGGTAATATTTGGTATATGATTTTTCTAGAGTAATTCGTATCGACAAAGGAGGTAGAAATATGGAAACGTGGCAAGGTGGAGAGAGGATTTAGATATTTAACAGTTTTCTTTCCCGAACTGATTCAGATTTGTTCACTAATTAGTTAGAATATACCAAATATACATTTTTTTTTCTTGAATTTGAAATTCAAATAACTTCAAATTATGGCTACTCATTGTCACGTGTCAAAATCGTATTTATTTTAATTTCGAGGCACGGCAGAAAATATCAAGTGGTGAAAATTTTAGAGAACAAAAAAAACCCTACGTGGCATCACATTATGAGGTTGTGGTTATTAACTTTTCCTTTAGGGGGGTGTTAGTCAATTGGGACATTTTCATACAAAATGAGATAATTGTTAAAGTGGAATAATTTTTCGCTAGTGAGATATTTTAGTGGGATAAATAGGAACAATTTTGTGAAGCGGGATATTTTGATAAAATAACGTGGGATAAATTTTTATAATCATGAAATATATATTTATACATTTTGAAGATATAAATACTATTTATCTATTTTAAACTTATTATTATTGATTAATAATTGCTTACAAGAATATTTTTTACTATTAAATAACTTTTGGTTAGACTATAAGATATTGACAATTATTATTATTATGATGGTCTAATGATGATGATAATCATAATAGGAAAGAAGTAAAGAAAAAAAAAGAAATATAAAAATAAAAAATAACAAAATAAATATGAGTTCTAGTTTTTTACCACCTAGTTCCAAGCTAAAACTTAGAATAATTTGAGAGACTAGAACTCTCATTTTTATATAGAAAAATAAAAAATATGGGATAATTTTGTACCATTATCTCTCCACTTTTAATACTATCAGTAAGCAGCCATTTGGTTTGACAGAAGTACCGGAAGTAGAAAATAAATTAAAGAAGCAACTTCTAAATTTAAGAAGCAGGAAGCTATGAAAGTAGTATTTTTTTTATTTGTTTCACACATTTTTTAGGTAGTGGAAATAGTACTTCTTATTCTTCATTCTCTTTTTTTGTTTGGATAGCAATGAAAAGTTGTTAGGAATTAAATAATAAAGAAAATACTAATAAGAAAAATTATTTATTTCCTAATTCATATGCATTTCGCCTACTTCCAAACTGCTTTCTAGCCTTAAGGGGTAGAAAAATATTTTAGAAGTAAGGATGACACGTAGGCGCCATATCAACGTTTAAGGAAGTATTGAAAGTAGGTTTTTTAGAGAAAAAAATATTTTTTTAATTGGAAGTAGACTAAGTAGCATTTACTTTCTTTAATTTAGCTACTTCATAATTACTTTCGTGCAAACAAAATATATGAGCAGTGCTAACAAAGAGGAATGACTAGTTTAATCTAGGGGGTGTTTGGTTCAATTTCTAGAAATTATAGTAAATGTTTTCCACCTAAAATATGATTTCCTTGTATTTCTTAAAAAAATTATAGGAAAAGTTTTGAGGAATCAAAAAGTACCAATTTTCTTGTTTTTTGTACTTTGCTTGTTTGGTTCAAAACAAGAAAATAGCTCATAACTTTATAGAAAATAACAAGATTTAGTAGGTTTTTAATTAAATATGGTATGTGTCAGATTTCTGATGATTTCCTCTCATTTTGAGAGGAAATTGCTTTTTGTAAAATTTGGTAGGTTTTGATATTTTATAGAAAATATTTCTGTAAATTTTTTGTTGAACCAAACACAATTTACAGAAATCTCTGAAAACTTTTAATTACAAATTTGCCATTGTCAGATATTTTGAGAAAAGTTTTCTCAAAAAGTGCGCAACCAAACAGCCCCTAAAAGAAGAAAAAATTGAGAAAGGATAATTAAGAGCTTCGTACTAATTAGTAATTAATTTCCATCCTGGAATTAAAAAAAAGTGAGAATGTCGATGCAGTTGCATTCTACAAATCTTAAACTGGACCTGTTCTACACGTTTGAAACCTCAGCTGCTCATAGTTCTTGATATAAATAATCAAAGTCCTTGGAATATAAAAATATCAGTAACTTAAGTTTTCCCATTACTTTCGGCGCGTATTTTTGTCAAAAGAAAGACTTGAACTATATAACTATATACTGTCTTTAAGTCATCGTCTTTGTCATGTGATAGATTATCTGATCATAAACAAGGCTAAACACTGCCTCATCTATTCTGTTTATTTCTTAACTGGCTCACTTGCATGTGACCACTTGCAATTTCATAAGACAGATATATTGGTCAACAAAGGGATCCATAAATTTCATGAATATCTTTCCAGAGACATACAGTAAATCCATAGAAACACAAGATGGGTAGAGGTCTTCAATTTATTTATTTGCTCACCCTTCTACTACTCTTCATGATCTCTTTGAAAAGCGTTGATTCGAAATGTGTCCTGTTTAACTTTGGAGACTCAAATACTGACACTGGTGAACTCGCTGCTGGTCTTGGAGCCTACGTAAGCCCTCCGAATGGCCGTCTCTTCTTCAACTTGCCTGCTGGTCGCTTTTGCGATGGCCGCCTTTACAATGACTTCATTTGTAGGTAGAAATTACAAGAAATAAAGGGGCATTGCTGATAGACTCTCGTTGTGGCATTGATGTTTTTTGACTCTTTCACTCTGGGGAGGTCTACTTGACAAAAACAGGTTTCAAAGTCTCTGGGGTTAAGGAGTCAAAAAATTCACTTAGAAGGTCTATATGCAAAAATAAAACTAGAGGCTAGTGAGTTCAAAACAACAATATTACAGGCATGGAGACAGATTTCCTCTTGGTTATTCTTGTTTATTAAGTACTAACCTACTAATCTTTTTGTTTATACTTTTTAGGTGAAAGCTTAGAGGTCAATTTTCTGAGCCCATATCTGGAGTCATCAGGCTCAGATTTTACAGATGGTGTAAACTTTGCGTTAGCTGGAGCAGCCACTGAATTCAGAGACAGATTTCCTTTTCCGTTACCCACTCAAGTTAACCAATTCCTTCACTTCAAAAACCGTACAAGAGAACTGAGACCATTAGGTATCATATATAATGCATTTTGTTTACTTAAAATATAGCATTTTCTGTGAGTTTTTACCAATTTATGTAAGTTAACGAAAATAACGCTCTTCTTGTAATCATAGGTAAGGGATCCATGATCAGTGAGGAGGAGTTCCAAACTGCTGTGTATTCAATTGACATTGGCCAAAACGATATTGGCATCTCCTTTGCTGCAAACTTGAGCTATACACAAGTCATCAATAAAATACCATCCATTCTATCAAGGATTAGGGACTCGATGGAGGCAAGTTTTACTTATTAAGTATTCATTTTCATCTCGGAAATTGAATCCTAGCCACCAGAGCTTTACTTATGTTTGATGGAGCCAGATATGCGCAACAATATACTTTTGGGTTATTTAATGAAGATGTATTTACTTTACATTTCTGTTCTATACTTTAATGTCAAAAATAACCTTACATGTACTTTTTATTATTCCTATATAAATGCAGACTATATATGAAAGTGGTGGAAGAAAGTTTTGGATATATAACACCGGGCCATTAGGTTGTTTGCCTCAAACGCTCGTATTAAGAAAGAAAAATGACAGTGTGCTCGACTCATTTGGATGCTTGGAAGAATATAACAACGCCAGTAAAGTTTTCAATGTCGGGTTGAGTGATCTTTGCGATGAATTGAGATCCAATTTTACGAATGCGACAGTCGTTTATATTGATAAATATTCAATCAGATATGATCTCGTTGCTAATCATACCAAATATGGTGAGTTACATATATACACATTTTCAGCATACAACAACTTAGAATATTCATTAGCTTTCTTTTTTCAGGTTTTGAAGATCCGCTTATGGCCTGCTGTGGATATGGAGGGCCTCCATACAATTTCAAGGACGACCAGAGGTGTGGAGCGCAAGGGACTTCAGCTTGCTCGTTAGAATCTCGATATATAAGCTGGGATGGAATTCACAATAGTGAAGCTGCCAATGAGATTATTGCTGCTAAGATACTTTCTGCAAGTATTCTAAGCCTGAAATTAAGCTGAAGAGTCTTTGTAGTTCTCGATGTCAGGCGCCTAACCTTTTTGACCCAGCCAACATGAAAACAAAAGTGGGGCCCACAAAGGCGGGCCCCACAAGAAGAAAAATCAAATTCGGTGGCAGCCATTGTTGAGAATTTATAAAGGATGTGGGTCCCACAAATATTTTATTATTAGTGGCGGGTCCCACATATAATATTATATTTGTGCATAGTGTTTTCTCAAACACTATAAATAGGGCCCTAAACTCTTAAGGAAATCTCATCCCAGAAACAACTCCTCTTATAGAAGAGTAAGAGAAAACATAGAGAGAGTTTGTGAGAGTTCTTGGAGTGTATCTGATCAAGAGAGGGTGTTCTCTTGGATCTATTCTTTTGGGATATAAAAGAATTTGGCGTCGTCGTTGCACCGTGGAGTAGCTCCGAAGGAGTGAACCACGTATATCTGTGAGTACTCTGGTTGATCTTGTGCCTTTATTTTGTGTATTGCGTCTCCGTTAGAGGCGTTCTTATTGGGGTGTATCCTAACAACTGGTATCAGAGCCTGACTTAGAGTATATATATCTGCTTATCGTATGCTCTGTGGCTGCCACTAAAAGTGGATCCTCCACATCAGAAAATAAGTTAGATTAATATTTACTCTTTTAAGGCATTGGGTACTATTCACGTGTACGGCACTATTCACTTATACGGTACTATTCACGGATACGGTACTATTCACGAATACGGTACTATTCACGGATACAGTACTATTCACGAATACGGTCATGGGATCTACAGTTGAAGACAACAGGCTTCGAATTGAGAAGTTCGGCGGCCAAAATTTCAGGTATTGGAGGATGCAAATAGAAGACTATTTGTACCAGAAGGATCTCTTCCTACCCCTCCAAGGAGAGGCGGGGAAACCTGAGAAGATGGACGACGATAAGTGGAAGGTGCTCGATCGTAAAGCACTTGCCACCATCAGGCTCAACCTTCACCAGCATGTGACTTACAACGTCTCGCATGCGACCACCACCAAGGAGTTGATGGAGGCCTTGGAGGCGCTGTATGAGAAGCCGTCTGCTTCAAATAAGGTGTACCTGATGAAGAAGCTATTCAACCTCAAGATGCAGCAAGGAGCTCGCGTGGCGGACTTCTTGAACGAATTTCAGGCTGTGGTGCAACAGCTTGCTGCAGTAGATCTAAAGTTCGACAACGAGATCCAAGCTCTTCTGCTACTTTCTTGTCTACCAGATTCATGGGAGAATATGGTAATGGCGGTGAGCAACGCTAATGGCAATGACAAGATGAAGCTCGACACAGTGGTTGGGGCAATTCTGGATGAAGAATCTCGCCGCAAAGTCTCAGGAGCTGAGGCCTCTAGCAGTGGGAGTGCTCTGCATGTCGAGGCACGAGGGCGTGCACAGAAGAAGGGTAGGGGACGACGAGGCCAATCAAAATCCAGAGGGAAGTCTAAAGAGCCAAACCCGAATGGTTACGGTGAAGGGAAGTGCTTCAGATGCGGAAAGAAGGGCCACTTTGCACGGGACTGCAGAGTTACTGTTCAAGCATCAGCAGGGGATGATCGGGCTGACGGTGCAGCCAATCTCATGCACGAGACGGATTCGGATGCACTTCTCCTATCCCTAGAAGACAAAAGTGATGCGTGGGTCATCGACTCTGGCGCATCTTTTCATGCAACCTCACAACAAAAGCTGCTTTCATCGTTCGTGAAGAAGGACTTGGAGACAGTCTATCTTGGCGACGATCAACCTTGTAAGGTTTCCGGGAAGGGAAATTGTACCCTCAAGATGGAGGGCGGGACCACCTTGACGCTGAATGATGTTCGGCATGTACCAGATCTCAGGCGAAATCTTATATCAGTCGGGCAACTGACTGACTCCGGTTACAGAGTATCCTTCGAGCAGAGAAGCTGGAAGGTGTCCAAGGGTGCCCTGGTGGTGGCACACGGCAAACGCGAGGGGTCTCTCTACATCGCCAACGGGAAGATCGACCACTTGCTTGCCGCAGGACAAGCATCATCATCATCATCCGTCGACTGCATGACTTGGCATCGACGACTTGGCCACATGAGCGAGAAGGGGATGCAGATTATGGCCGCGGGAGAGAGGCTTCCGGGTCTGAACAAGATCGATCTGACTTTCTGTGAGGACTGCATCCTAGGCAAACAAAAGAAGGTGAGCTTCAACAAGACCGGACCGGCTCCAAAACTGCAGAAATTGGAGTTGGTGCACACCGACGTGTGGGGACCTGCGCAAGTCCCATCTGTTGGTAACTCTCTTTACTTTGTCACTTTTATTGATGATGCTACGAGAAAATTGTGGGTGTTCTTCTTGAAGCACAAGTCAGATGTATTCATCATCTTCAAGAAGTGGCTTGCCTGTGTGGAGAACGAAACAGGCAATAAGCTGAAGTGCCTAAAGTCTGATAATGGAGGCGAGTATTGCAGCCAGGAGTTCGAGAACTTCTGCTCGTCCCGTGGGATTCGGAGACTGAAGACCGTCCCAGGCACACCTCAGCACAACGGAGTGGCGGAGCGCATGAATCGCACTATCTTGGAGCGCGCCAGAAGTATGAGGATCCACTCCGGATTGCCCAAGAGCTTTTGGGCTGAAGCTGTCAATACTGCTGCATACTTGATCAACCGCGGGCCATCCGCGGCTCTCAATTATGGGATACCTGAAGAGGCTTGGACCGGAAAGAAGCTGAAGCTAGAGCACTTACGAGTATTTGGTTGTGACGCCTATGTCATGACCAATCCTGCAGACCGGTCAAAGCTTGATCCAAAGTCAAAGAAGCTCTCTTTCATCGGCTATGGAGGAGATGAGTATGGGTACCGTTTCTGGGATCACGATGCGCGCAAGGTGGTGCGCAGTCGTGACGTCGTATTCCATGAGAATGCGGTGTACAAGACCAAAGAGGTGAGTGGGAGTCAGCTATCTCCCCCTCTTTTCCCAGATATTGCTGACAGTGAGGACAACGATGAGATACCAATCAGCATAGAAGACGGAGACCAAGAGAACATGCAGGATGCACAGCAGCAGGATCCAGCAGAGTTGCCGATCGCAATTCGCAAAGCTCCAAGAAATCCAAGGGTGCCAGAGAGGTACCTTTCCACAATGAATTACCTTCTCCTGACTGACAATGGTGAGCCAGAGAGCTATGAGGAGGTACAGCAGACCGGCAAAGCTCGCGGCGAGTGGGAGTCTGCCATGGAGGAAGAAATGAAGTCCTTGATGAAGAATGGGACTTGGGAGCTTGTAAAGCTTCCACGAGGGCGAAAGGCTCTTCACAATCGGTGGATTTATCGGGTCAAGGATGAAGCCGATGGACGGAGACGCTACAAGGCGAGGCTTGTAGTGAAGGGCTATGAACAGAAAGCAGGGATTGATTATTCTGACGTTTTCGCTCCCGTCGTCAAGTTGACCACGATCCGAACTATGCTGAGCATTGTAGCAGTTCAAGATCTCCACCTAGAACAGATGGATGTGAAGACGACATTCCTTCATGGAGATCTGGAGGAAGAAATCTATATGCATCAACCAGTGGGCTTCGAGGAACGAGGCAGGGAGGGCCTCGTATGTCGTCTGCACAAGAGCTTGTATGGCCTGAAGCAAGCTCCACGACAGTGGTACATGAAGTTCGAGAACTTTATGGAGGAGAACGGTTTTCTCAAATGTGACACAGACCACTGCTGCTTCATCAAGAGATATGACGAATCCTATGTAATACTCTTGATTTATGTTGATGACATGTTGATTGCAGGGCCCGACTTGGCCCGCATTGAGGAACTCAAGGGGCGTCTCTCCGAGTGCTTCGAGATGAAGGATCTGGGTCCAGCAAACCAGATTCTGGGGATGAGGATCATCAGAGACAGATCAGCACGGAGGCTGAGGTTGTCTCAGAAGGCCTACATTGAGAAGATTCTTGAAAAGTTTGGCATGGAGAAAGCTAAACCGGTGGGCTCGCCGTTTGCAAGTCATTTCAAGCTATCGAAGACCCAAGCACCAGAGACTGCTGAAGAGCACGAGTTCATGGCAAACATACCATATGCATCTGTCGTCGGGAGTTTGATGTATGCGATGGTGTGCACGAGGCCAGATATTGCACAAGGAGTAGGAGTTGTGAGCCGCTTTATGAGCAATCCAGGGAAACAACACTGGGGTGCGGTCAAGTGGCTTCTACGCTACTTGAGAAGCTCGTCCGACCGTTGTCTTGAGTATGGCGGGGCAGATTTGCAGCTAGAGGGCTTTTGTGATGCAGACTACGCAGGGGATATAGATTCAAGAAGGAGCACGAGCGGCTACATCTTCATCTTGGGTGGTGGAGCGATAAGTTGGAGATCCAAGTTACAGGATACTGTGGCTTTGTCGACAACCGAAGCCGAGTACGTGTCTGCAGCAGAGGCAGCAAAGGAGTTGCTATGGTTGAAGGCTTTTCTTCTCGAGCTTGGAGTAAGCTTTGAGAAATACTTCATCCACTGCGACAGTCAGAGTGCCATTCACTTGTCAGAGAACGACGCATTCCATGCTCGGACCAAACATGTTGACGTGAAGCACCATGCCATACGGAGATGGCAAAGCAGGAACGAGTTCAAGCTTGTGAAGATTGATACGAGGTATAATCCAGCTGATATGCTGACCAAGCCAGTTCCGCTCGAGAAGGTGAGGCTGTGTGCAGCCTCATATGGCCTCCGTTGAGAATGTTGAGGGCCGTGCAAGACGCCAAAGATACATGACATCCGGATGATGCAACCAAGAGTGGTGTGAAGATATGATCGACATTCAATCAAATCTTCAAGTGGGAGATTGTCAGGCGCCCAACCTTTTTGACCCAGCCAACATGAAAACAAAAGTGGGGCCCACAAAGGCGGGCCCCACAAGAAGAAAAATCAAATTCGGTGGCAGCCATTGTTGAGAATTTATAAAGGATGTGGGTCCCACAAATATTTTATTATTAGTGGCGGGTCCCACAGATAATATTATATTTGTGCATAGTGTTTTC